ATAATACCAAGCAGCATTCTGGCGCTACTTGAGATTAATTTGAGTTATTAAGAAATTTGTTATTAAGGAATATAGCACGGCTATTGAAAATATGGGGTTTGGAAGATATTTTCGTATTATTTGAATTCAAACATATAGATTTTTTTTTTACTTCTCACGGAAGTTATTTGCTAAACACCACACTTCAATTATATAAGTTCCCGACGTAGGATTTTCAGTAGCAGGTCTAGATCGCGCAAAATTCGGCTTTTATCGACTTTAAAGTTTTTTGTCTATTGTTGTCCTAGTAGTATCGATTTTACTCAAAGTGCATTTTGACAAACTCATATCGAAAGTCAGTAAGTGGTGCCATACAATATTGTCGCAATCGGACAAGGATAAAAAAAGATCGAAAAAGATCGGTATGGTCTCCAAAAAAACTGTATCAAAATACCTTAAGGAATTTGTAAATCCACTATAAAGCGCTTTTCAATTGAGTGTCCAAAACCAAAACCAAAGTAATCACAACGGCCAATCAGAGTAAAGGAAATAATCAGAGGGAGCCAATGACAACTCGAAGTAAACGCGTGTAACCGGCCTGTAGCACGGGAAGACGCGAGTGACCAAGGAGCGATTGGTTTTAGTCTACATCTGATTGGCTGAGAGGGTGGTGCGAGTTTTCTAGACCAATCAAACAGCACAGTAAAGCAAAACCAATTCAATCCTGGATTACTTTCAACACTCAATTGAAAATTGCTCTAATAGCTGTTTTGTCTGATGTTTGGGTGCTAAATGACAATAAGTGAATGGCCCTGCAAATGTTTTGGCTTTATCGGTAATAAAGTAATTTTAATTTATTGCGTTGGTGAAAATATCAAAATAGTAGTTTCAGCGTGTTCAAATGGTTTCAACGCTCCGTCACGTGACCGGCCCCAATGATCAAGTGTTCGCCATTATCACAGGGATTAGGCTTAGCCACAAGTTGCCGATAAATTCCCAAAAAGTTGCCGGTAAAAGTGTACAAAGGTTGCTAAAAAGTTGTTATTTTATTTTTGAAGTTGGCGTAAAGCTGCTGAATTTCGAAAAAGTTGCCGAATAGTTGCTTTTTTTTTCTTGTTTGCGCTGGAAGTTGGTTTTATGGCGGTTTTTACTCGCCGGATTCGTCTGTATTTTTCTTTCTCTAGCTATTTTAGCTTTTTCGGGGGTAGCGAGATTTGCCCCCAGCCTTTTAGCTTTCTCAGTAGGATTAATCGGGTCTTCATCTCTGTCACTGTTGTCCGCCATCTTGAAAAACGTGTCATGTGATACTGCTGACCTCCTGGATAGGCGTAGAATACCAAGCTGGCATTGGTAATTGGGTGAGGGTTGGAGTCCACACACTCACACAGTAGTATAAACCAGCTGAATTTAGCTGACTTTTCTTTCGAAAGATAATAAATGTCGCGAAAAAAGTAAAACAATAATTTTAAAAACGCTAAAAAATGAAAAGTTGCCGAGAATTTTAAAAGTTGCCGAGCAACTTGTGGCTAAGCCTAACAGGGAGCCTGTAACGTGCAAACTGTCATGTTATTCAGTGTTGTCAAGAGAGGATTTAAGGTGGCTCGATGCAGTTTTTCAGGGTCAATACCTCCCAAGTTTGAGCATAAATTACGTCGCTATAAACAAAGTTTTGGAAAAATTGCCACCGCAGTTGTATTAGCTAAAGATGAAAATTTGTTATGAACAGGGTTGCAACGGCATCGGAATTGTCATAGCAACGAAATGAAGCTATTAGCTATTTTACTTGCAGCAGTATATCTCGGCACTGGGAACTGTTCTTCCAAAATCGTTCACAGGAGCTTTTTCCTCCAATAGCGGCCTCGATCTTCGTGAAGTTTAAGCGAAATCTGTAAGAGCGTTATCGAGATATTTTGGGATGAAGTTTCTATGGCTAGAAACACAGTAAAAAATGGACAATATTGTTGTTTGGCGGTTATCTGTAAAAAACGAAGAGCTTTTAACATGCAATTTCACCGCATAGTAGTTCCAATCTTTTTAAAAACGTGTGTGAAAGATCATTTAGATAGCTTCAACCGATTGCTAGAAAGAAGGGTTGGATTAGTATGTATCGAAGCACTCTAGTTAGCGGTTTTGTAAACATTTTGGTCTTCTTTATCAAATTAGCGAATAATTTTTAAACCGTTCGATAGATTTTTTTACAAATTTAAGATTCTTGAGATTAACCTTCCTTTTATATGACCTTTTAGTTTCAAGATTATTGATACATTGTAAGGCAGTAAAATAACGGCTAGAATTCGCTACTTTTTTATCGGAAGTTTCGTCATTACAAGAGAAAGCCTCTCATTATTCAAGGCATTGTCTCCAAGTTTCATTTTCACGTGAACAGCAGTAACTAACAATGCATTTGACATATGCAAAAATGCTAGCTATTGTTGTGCACGAAAATATGAAACTTGGAGACAATACCCCGAATAATGAGATGCTCACACTTGTAAACACAAAATTTAAGCCAAAATATGAGCGAATTGTAGCCCTTACTTTACTGCCTTACAATAAATCAATAATCTTGAAACTAAAAGGTCATATAAGAGGAAGGTTAATCTTAAGAATCTTAAATTTTTAAAAAAATCTATCTAGCGGTTTAAAAACTATTTGCTAGTTTGTTAAAGTAGACCAAAATATTTGAAAACCGCTAAAAAGAGCGCCTGGATACATACTATTCAAATCTTTCTTTCTAGCAATCGGCTGGAGTTATCTCCATGATCTTTCACACACGTTTTTGAAAAGATTGAAACTACTATGAGGTGAAATTGCATGTCAAAAGCGCCTCGTTTTCTACAGATAACAGCCGAACATAGAGATCGTCCATCTTTTACCGTATTTCTAACCACAAAATCTTTATCCCAAAATATCTCGATAACGCTCTTACAAATTTCGCTTAAACTTCGCGAACATCGAGGCGGCTATTGGAGGAAAAAGCTTCGGTGAATGATTTTGGAAGAACAGTTCCCAGTGCCGATATATACTGCTGTAAGTAAAATAGGCAATAGCGTCATTTCGTTGCTATGACAACTCCGATGTCATTGCAACCCTGATCACAACAAATTTTCATCTTTATCTAGTACAACTGCGGTGGCAATTTTTTCAAAACTTTGTTTATGGCGACGTAGTTTATGCTCAAACGTGGGAGGTATTGGCCCTGGAAAACTGTATCGAGCCACCTTAACAGTCCTCATTAAAATACTCTGCATTGTTTGCTTTGAGGCAGTCGCGCGTGGACTTTATGACGTTTCAAAACGATCGATTAAAATGTGCGGACATCTGAGGAATTAACGCTCCGATTCAACTCTCCGTCATGTGACCCGCCCCCATGACCAAGTGTTCGCCATTATCACAGGGAGCCCACACTCTTATTTGTAAACTGCAAATGGCAATTTAAATGAGAGATTAAAACTTACCTGTTCTGTTCTTGAATCTGCTGCGGAGCAAAGTGAAATGGAAGTTGTTCTACGATGCAAAAACGATGTTTGTGTCGGCACTTTGTCCGTAAATTTCACAATGCCTTATTTTATGTGATTTGTCTTTACTGTTGGTTATTAATTAACGGTACTGCAAACCGTTAACAGTGAAATGCGAGACAATCAACGTAAAATAAAGCATTGTGAAATTTACAAACAAAGCGCCGACACAACATCGTTTTTGCATCGTACAACAATTTTCATTTCACTTCGCTCCGCAGCAGATTCAAGAACAGAACAGGTAAGTTTTAATCTCTCATTTAATTGCCATTTGCATTTACAAATAAGAGTGTGGGTTCCCTGTGATAATGACGAACACTTTGTCATGGGGGCGGGTCACGTGACGAAGCGTTGAATTGGAGCGTTAATTCCTGAGATGGCCGCACATTTTAATCGATCGTTTGAAACGACTAAGTCCACGCGCGACTGCCTCAAAGCAAACAATGCAGAGTATTTTAATGGGGACTGTTAAATTCTCTCTTGACAACACTGAATAACTTAATAGTTTACAGGTTACAGGCTCCTCCAGAAATCAACTTCCAATTAATTTCAAGTGTTTAATTGGTCTAAAACTAACTTTGTGAAATTCACATATTCCAAGAGCTAGATTGATTAAGCGTTTCCTTCTCAGTCTGTCCCATTGTTTTTTCTTGAACAATTCAAACGGCCGGTGGTTTTAATCTCTTCGCGGCGATTTGAAGACTTTTTAGAGATATTTTCTCAGTTGTGTTCTCGTGAATTTACTGTTAGGCAACCTTTTTTTTCCTTACGTTTGTGTTGTCAAGGATGGAGTTTGCATTGCTTCTACTGGTTCTTTAGCGCGAAATCTCGCGCGAGAAAGTCATTTTCATCCCGATCGGCTGAGAAAGTGGCCCGACATTTCCTAGCCAATCACAGAAGGTAGTCACATGCATGGTTTGACAAAGATCATGCTCTGCATGCGAAGGGCCAAGAGCACCTAACGAAGCGTTTTAAAACAATTGTAGCTGTAAGAAAGAATTTAGTTAACCGTCAAAATTTGTACTTGATCATCGCAAATTAACTTACTATTAAACGATTGATTGAGACGGAACATGATCTTGAGTTCCCTTTACTAAAATGTCCCACAAAATGAGGAAAGCAACCAGGAAATCTGAGGAATAGCATTTCTTCAGACTATCAGTCCAGGTATATAACAACAAAGATGCAAAAAGATTAATCATTTGGAAGCGGTATTGAATAAATTTTACGGTAGTGTCACTCTTGCAGACTGTGAAACGGGCTTGTAAAATGGAGAGTTAATTGCAGGGCATGGTATGAAGTGTTTTTTAAACTTAATGACACTTGTACTTCTTTTAAATGAAACGTAAAAAAAATGGAGATCTCGGCTTTTGGTTACCTTATGCTTCATGTTATCAAATTGGCTTCTAAGTTTAGATTCATGCATGGCTTCATTCTCTCCGGAAGGGAATCAGTCAAGCAGTGCAAAGAATCTTGTCTGCCATGCGCAACGCTCTTTTAGAAAGTTAATTGAATCAACAAACAGTGGTCAACAGGTTTGGCAGTTAAAGAACACCGATCATTCCTTCCATTTTTAAGAGCGTTTGAGGGACTTTTCACCATGTATCCTTCAGGTGTTGCAAGTGTCTTCTTCTTCAGTTTGTTTCTTCAAGGCCTCCCAAGGGTTACGTGTGGTGAGCTTCGGTTATTCTACTTATTTTTGACTCATCCTTAAAACAGGCTATAGTTTGACTTAAAAATGGCTGGAAGTTCAAAGTTCCAAACTCTTTTTGAGCAGGGCAACCAAGCGAAGCGTCGTTTCGTCTCTTCACTCGGGTTGCAGATAACTTTCTCATTTTACTCCTTCGAAATCGCGAACGATTTGTTTAAGAGAGTCTTTAAGTCTTTTCTCCCATGCCTAGGTTAGCTGCGATAAAAACTGCGCAAGACAACTAACTCATATGTACATGTTTATCCCGCTTGATTATGATCTCACTAACTAAAGAATCTGATGCAGAAGACAAGGGACTAAATTTTAGCGTTTTGCCATCACTGGCTACAATCATGTCTTAGCTTCTAAAGCCTTAATTCATGTTGTTAACTGTTTGCAAACAATTTGGGCCAACCATTTGACTGCTTGCAGATAGTGTTTCAGTGAACAATTAGATATGACGTTATCTCCTTGTTTTATTCGTAAGGTTTTTTTCTGTCGGATTTTGTCATGCAAATGCAAATCAAGCTTCTACACGGTATTGTCCACTATGATGTACCTGTTCGATAACAAGTAGCTTCTAGTCAATATATAAGGACTATTGAGACCCAATCAGACTCCATTACTTTAATTGGATAAGGTATACCATCCTCAAAACCGTTATATTTCCGCTAGCAGTCCTAAACTTGTTTCTTACACTTTTTTTAGCATTTCACTCTTTAATTTAACGTATTTTTTTAATTAGAGGATATTGGAACAGTTGAGTACATTTCCATTGGTGTTTCGTTGGGATTAGCAGTCTTCATCGTAGTTTTTCTTGCTTTCTTTTGGTGGCGCGTACAAAATGCCTACCCACTGGAAGCTAGAAGCAGAGATACAGGAATCGTAAGTACAGTCCTCGCTAAAGGTTTCACTAAAATCAATTGAATAAAATTTAATATCCCATCCCAATTAAGTAACACCTAACACGCACTTTTCCGAGTCTCCTGACACTTCGCCATTTAAGGGTATCTCTAAGCATTTGAGCACATACTGTAAATTCTCGAAGAGCATCCTGCCAACCATCTCCAAACCATCTCTTGAGTCAATTTCCTGATTTCACACTGGCATGCATCGAATTCAGCCTTAAAGCCTTTTTTTCGTTTAGTTCTACTCTTTTTCTTCCAAATCTAGCCAAGATTTCATTCAACCAAAAATGGCTTCATAAAGGTTGTAGCAAGAGAGAATTTTGGTTCAATAAATGTGTGAGAGTTTGTGGACGATTTTTCGAATGTTTTTAATGAATAAAAATTGGGGGGGAGTGTTTAAACTTATAGAAAATTAGAAAATATTGGATTTGGGGTTGTTGAAAATTAAAACACGAAAGGAATAATTAGTATACAAATATCAGATAGTCCAACCCCACAACAAGGTGCTTCTGATCCCATTAACAGACTAACTTGTTTATGTGCAGACCTTTTCTATTCTGATTTCTTTTCCCTCAAATCAACATCATACGCCCTAGAAACAACCCGCGGAATGCCCTCTCAAATGTGCCAGATTGTCCTTACAAAACGTTCTTTAGTCAAAAGAACGTCGTCCTTTTGCATTGTCTGTTATCTCGACGATGTTCTTCAAGAGCCATAGCCATCTGTTTTTCTTAGAAAAATCAATAAAATGAACTAAAAATTGAAGGAACTGGTTTTCACTGCCACCTTTAAAAATAAAAGTGGAAACCATAAAAGAATTTAAGAGATGATAGATGAAGAATCTCACCAAGATGAGCAAGGGGTATAATATCCATAGAAACGCTTAACCAAAACTTGTAGAGTGTGGTGACACCATGTAGAGGGAGGGGGAGGGGGGCTTTGGAAAGGAAACCAACTTAGTGCATGCAGGAGACCAACGGAGGTCAAAAGCTTACCAAGATTTTAGTCAATGAGATAAACACTTAAAGCAAAAGACACACTCGAACACCAACTACTGATTGAATGCATGCACACACCCGTATCACCCGAGTAGCAATAGACAGCTAGCTGTTTCCACCTTGACTTGTACTCATCAGCACGGCATATCCTCTGAGGGGGTACTCCCCTATAATAGTGACAGGAGTGCTCGTCGTACCATTTGTGGATTGATACCGCTTGGGGTGCTATGATCTAAGATGACTGCTGCCAGAGTTGTCTCGGTACCTTTTAGGAGCCTGGGGTAAGGTTATCGCCAAGGGTTATTGATCCAAAAAACGTTTTTGTGCCAGTTATATAATTAGTTGTTGTTG